TTTCTTTGTCTAGAACTCCAGGTCACGTGGGCCCCACTGGAGTGCTTGGTTGGCTGCGAGAGGGCCGGGGGAGGGGGCCGGCTCTCAGACGCTGGCAGTGGGCCAGCCCCTCTTCTCCCGGCCGAGGGGCGCGGGGGCCTGGGGGCGCGGCTGGGCCTCCCCGGGTTCTCAGGGCCCATCCGGGCCAGGCTGGAGGCGGTGCCCGCCCCCTCCTCCCGGGCCAGCCGTCCCCNACTCTGCAGGAGCTCCGCTCGGGGCTGGGGGGGCGAGGAGCCCTCAGGCAGCGCTGCAAGGGAAGGAGGGTAGCGGGGAGGTAAGGTGGGAGCGGAGGCGAAAAGGAGAGATGAGGTTCCGGACGGTCTGGGGGAACCAGGAGAAAGTTGTTAAAAGTGAGTCACAGAAGCACACCAAAAAAAAAAAAAAAGCTTACAGATGAGCGAAGAAACCCAAGAAGCTGTAGGGAAACTCCAAGCTCACAGAGATGGACAGAAGGGCCCGCACAGAACTGAGAGCGCTCCAGAACCAGGACCGGGGGCCGGGGGCTCCCTTCACACTACAGGTGGGTAGAGAGGGGTAGAGGGGTGCCTTAAAAAGCTGGCTGACCAGTTCAGGCTTTGAAAACATCTTCCTGGCCAAGTCCCTGCGTCCCATAGGTCACTTTGGGTCTTCTCACTTCCCTGTTTGCAAGTTTGGGGAGAGGGGGCGCTAGTTCAAAAGTAGAATACTGTCCAAGATTGCCCCCCAGTAGGTGCCTGAAACTGTGGATAGTATCCAGTCCTACAAGCACTGTTTCTTTTTTCTATAGGTGCACACCAGTGATGAAGTTTATAAATTAGGCACAGTAAGGGATGAACTAATAGACTGATTACACCAATATACTTGTGAATGGGATCTCTCTCGAAATATCACCGTACTTACCCTTTTTCTTGTGATGACATGAGATAATAAAATGCTTACATAATGAGATGAAGTGAGGTGAATGGCTAGGTATCGTGACCTAGTGCTGACCTTCTGATCATATGTCAGAAGG